AAATACATATTTGTTTGGGGAGGTTAATTAAAAACTCAGCTTGCACAAGTATGCAGTTTGTATAATACGAGGACTTTTCTTTACCTTTTAATAGCTTTTTTAAGCTTTTTTTAGGTTAGGCTTGTATGGGAGGTGTGCGTAAAAATAAACCGATTGCAGCCATTTTAAGGGTGTATGCTTATATTATCATTATAAATATATGGCCAAAATGTCGGTGTCGTGCATTTATCGCTACGCTTTAATTACATCTTTAAGCGTTTTTGAGGTTTGGTTTGTATGGGAGGTATGCATTAAAGTAAATTGGTTTTGCTAATTTTTTGTATGTTTACACACTCCATTACTGTGATTATATGGACGAAATTTCGGAGTCCTTCATTCATTGGTGACTTTTGAATGGCATTTTCAGAGCGTTTTTGAGGTTAGGTTTGTATGGACGGTATGCTTTAAAATAAACCGATCGCACCCCTTTTTCGTTTTTTCTTCATTTATGCCCTTAGACGTTACATACGAAAAATTAAAGCCCTACTCCTTCTTCTTCTAAATTTCTCCAAACAATGTATAGGGCACTGAAATCCAACCAATTTTTTGGTCATGGTCAGGGTTGCCACTGACGAGAGAAAATATTTACCATCCACTCGAAAAAAAGCTACCAAATCTGGGAAATATCTACCAATAACTTTTTTATAATTATTTTAATAAAAACTATAGTTTTGTTATTTTGTTATAAAGATCAAGGATTCAAACTATATACAACATATAGAAAAATTCCAAAAATGTTCGTTTAAATTTCGAATTTTTTACTCTGAATACTATTTAAGTATAGCCCACAAGTCCTGCTTCAAATTCCCGTTGATTTTATTTTTTATTTTTTTAAATTGATAAAAAATTGCGTTATTTTAATTTTTTTGCGAACATTCATAGTGCGTAATAACATACCTGTAAATTTTTTCTTTATATTTAAATAATCATTTAAAATATTTAGGCAATCAAAAGCTCCTCGGGATTCCAGTAAAATTAGTTTTGAATGGAGCTCGATATGTTCGCGTTATATCGCTATACATTTATACGTATGTAATTATATAAAATGTATGCAAAGAAATTTATAATAAATTTAAAGATGACTACGGAAAATAAATTGGGAACGGAAAGTTCATAAAAAATCTACCAAAATGAGAAAAAACTTACCTTTTTACCAACCCAAATTTTTTATACCAATTTTCGTAACAATTTACCAAAGTGGCAACCCTGGTCATGGTACACAGTTTGTAGTGAGTGGGAGATGTGGTCACAATGCGTTCATATATCGGTTTGTTGAAGATTGTTCTCAGGGGGCAAGTGTGAGATCGAAAAGGCACCTATGTAAAGGGTCCGGACTTTCCAGGTGGTATGCCCTCAAATCACAGTCCTTTGAACATTGCCGTGGGGTCGTCATCAAAACAAAGCAGTTTCGTCCGAGGCTTTCTGATAATTTTCATTGGAACTTTGTTTCACATGACGGGTCCGAAACCCAGCCTCTAACCAGAAATTCACTTGAAAGCACGGATTAGATGTGGAAGAATTTGTCCTTAAAAAAATAATAAAATAAGACATACACACCCTAGGGTGGTCCTTAAAATATCAACATTAAGGGGCACCACTTTATTTTGGGCCACTTACAAAATAAAAATATCCTCGCAAATTTCAAGATTTAAAGATAATAACGGTCGGGCCAGGGTTTGGAAAAGTTTTTTTTTTTAATTCGAAACATTGTTTTTTTGCCACTATAATTCAGCGAGTTTATGAATTTATATGAATAATTTTCAATAACATGTATAACTTATTAGATTTCAGATCGAATGGATCATGGATGTTGATATTTTGAGGACCACCCTAATACATTCTCTTAAAACATCTTGTTCAGAACTTGGCTGTATAAAATTTATTATATGAACACCCTGTGTTTGGCTTCTTCTAAAAATATTCTAGACAAAAACCAGTTACTGTAACAGTTATGGCTAAAAAAACTTCTGCCACCTATGTACATATGTCCCAGTATTTTTGCATTTAAGGAAAAAGAAACTTTACGAAAGCACTATTGCTATAAAATGAACCGTACACAATTTTTAGAACTTCCTTTTTGCTTTATTGATGTGCATGAACTATTTTTAACAAGCTTTTTTATTAGCTTCAGCAGAGAACGTTTATAAACGTTTATAAACGTTCTCTGGCTTGACTGCTATAAAAAATAGGTTTGTTCGTCGAGCAAAAAATTTGTACGAATTTGTACGAATTATCACGATTTTTGCCCAAATCGCGTTCGTGCAGACCAAAAAATTATCCAACACTCAAAAATTGTGAGAGCAAAGTGAGAGTTCTCTTGGAGAGATGTTGCAAATTCTTGCTGGAAAAAATTTTGCCAGCAAGAATTTGCAAACACGAAAAACATGTGGTTGTGGCGCATGGTTGCTTTTT